CCTTAACCACCATGTCACCTGCTGGCCCCTATATTCCAGATTTTAAGTGGAAAGATCAGACCACAATAGAAGATAGATGAAGTACATGAGTCTGAACTGGTGAAATAGAATTACATGACTTTTGACTAAAACTTCATTGATCTTCTTCTATGCTTTGTTTTTCCAGAGTGAAGGATTTTTTGTTTTCTCTTGAGTTGTCATAGGGTCCATGTACCTATTATTTGTACAGAACCCTAACCTGTTTCCTAGCTTTAAATCTTAAGCAAATTTCTCTTAACATTTTTTAATTTTGATTTACTAAACTAAAACTACCTTTCTTTCTTTCTTTCTTTCTTTCTTTCTTTCTTTCTTTCTTTCTTTTTCTTTCTTTTTTTTTTTGGTAAGGTTTTTGCTATAGGGTGCGTGCACTCACCAGAAAGACAGAGAGTGACAGAGAGACAGAAAGCAAGAAATCACCCCCCAGGGGGGATGGCCATGCAGCAATCCCATCTCCTCCATTCTCCTCTCAGTATCTTGAGCAAGCACGCACATGTGCCCAGCGTGAGTTTAAGCCACCGGGTCCGGGACTTGAACTACGGTCGACTACATGGGAGTCTAGCAACATAGTTATTATGCTAACTGCTGGTCCTGAAAAACTGCCTTTCTTGAAATTAAAAAATATATTAAAAATACCTATTTAATGACCACAGTAAGCTAGATAGCCTTGGCTAGATGCTACTTTCCAGTATATTCATTCTATTTACAGAGTTCCATGCCTAAAGTCAAACATGTATTCACAGATATGTCTATATCAGCTGAACTTACTATTAAAAGTAGTTAGATTAATTAAGATACTTTGTGGATCAACAAAATGTGGGAAAAAAAAGAAAAAAGAATGGAAAGAAACTGTAGATACCAGAGACAGTGTGGGAGGAGGGTGAGAAATGGCAGAGGGTGAGAAAAGGGGGGGGATAATACACACACACACACGCACACGTGTATATATATATAAATATATATATATGCATATACATATATATGTATAGATATATATATGAAACAAGAAATGGAAAATTATTTGATGATAACATGCATGATTAAGCCACTATACAGTGTATTCTGGATGGGAAATCGTATATTATACACTGATGATGTTCAGTGAATGAATGTAAAAGATACTAACTAATTTAAAAAAAAAAAAAAGAAACATGGGCTCAGAGGTCAAGGTCTTCCAGCCAGCTGAGTGATAGAGGCACAAGTTGAACACAGACCTTCCCAAGACTATTGCTTTTTAAAGTATAACAAATCTAGGGACCAGCAGTTAGCATAAAGGCTGTGTCGCTGGACTTCCATATAGTCGACCGCGGTTCGAGTCCTGGACCCAGTGGCTTAAACTCACGCCGGGCGCGTGTGTGTGCATGCCCAAGATCCCGAGAAGAGAATGGAGGAGAAGGGATTGTGGTATGGCCATCCCCCCGGGGGGTGATTTTTCACTTTCTGTCTCTCTGTCTCTCTGTGTCTGTCTGGCAAGCGCACGTGCCCTATAGAAAAAAAAAAGTCTCAAAAAAAAAAAAAAGTATAACAAATCTAGATCAGGTCCATGACCTCCTAGTTAAGGCAGCTGAATCCCACATGGCCAACTGCATGGTTTAAGTATCAGATCCAACATCTTGAGAAACACACTGTGTGTGTGTGTGTGTGTGTGTGTGTGTTGTATCTAAAATCCTGAACGGGAAAGATGGAGGAGATTGTGGCGTGACCATTTCTATCAAGGGAATGGGGGGATTTCTCTTCACTTTTTCTCTGCCTATCTCTGGTGAGCACACATGCCCTCTAGCAAAAACAGACAAACAAATTAGGAAAAAATTAACACACTTTTCCCTGGGATAATATAATTAGAAATCACCAAATACAAAGGACTACTCCCAAAAGTATTTGAAATTCTAGGAATATGATTTAAGAAAAACTAGAGAAACAGTTGAAGTGGCATGGAGACTGGAAGCGACATGTCTCAAACAGCAAGGCCAAACAGTTGTACAGTTTTGTAGGAAAGGGTGGAGGTGAGTGCTTCTTTAATTACAGTGAGTGCAAACAGCACGCCAGGCCCGGTGCTGATGGCTTCATGTACATCATTTGCTTGACTTTCACCAAAGGTCCAGCAGATATCATTGCTTCTAGCTTACAGATGTAGAAATGAAAGACAGGATGTTAGAAAACTTGCCCGAGGTCTCAGTCGATCAGTGGCAGAACTGGAATTCGAACCCTGGTCTTTTTCCTCCAGTGACTCTTCCACGTGGTCTTTAGAGCCCACAAAACTTAGGAGATGAGCAATGGCTCAGCAGTTCCCATCAGGGAAGTGCCATTTAATTCAAGCTGGTATGTGGAAAGCTACTTGCACCCTGGAGAGGAGGCAGGTTGGCAGTTTCTTCTGAGAAGGAACTTCTAGGTGGGCATCACTACTTGGTTAAAATTAAGAAGGAAAGGGGCCAGCAGGTGGCATAGTGGTTAAGGATCTGGACTCCCATGTGGCTGACTGTGGTTTGAGGGCCGGACCTGGTGCCTTGAAGCCATGTCAGGTGTATTCGAGCCCAAAATCCCAGGAGGAGAATGAAGAAGAGATTGCAGCATGGCTATCCCCATCTCACTGTCTGTCTCTCTGTCTCTCTTCAGCAAGAGCAGAAACCCTAGGGCAAAAATCTTAAAAAAAAAAAAATTGAGAAGGAAAATGAGCAGAGGAAAGAGAGCACCCAAGGAAAAGTCTAGAGGGATGGAGGAGGAGGCTCAGGCTTGGAAGGAGACTGCAGGGCAGATGGCCCTCAGAGGAGGACACTGCCGCAGACATGATACTGTGGTCTTTGCTTCATGATAAATTAACTGCTTTTTCTTTCCTGCTAGCAGAGGGTGATTATGATTACCTGCTCTCTGAGGGTGGACTGTGGCTGAGAAGAGTGGAACTGGGAGTTTAGTTCAGTCATCTATGGCAGCGTTTAGCATGCCATAGCTGCTCGGTGTACCAGGTAGAAAGGAAGGGAGGGAGGCGGGGAGGAGGAAGGAAATACTGGGCAGTGACGGACAGCACTTCTGTTGACATTCGAAAAATCGCGTTTCCCCTTCCAGCCTCAGATACCGCATCTGGGGCAAGTGATCTATGCTGTGAGGCAGTTGTGAGGACAGATGAAAGCTGCAGATGTAGGACAAGTAGGAAACACAAAGGCCTAGAGAAGTGTAGCAGTCATTTCATTTATGGCTGAAATTTCTGTGAGTGTGCTTTGTACTCTCGGGTACACGTAATCTAAATATGAAACCCTGCCTTTGGTCAAATGGCTGGTTGAAGAGCACTTGTGACAGGGTTTTGTGAGCATTGACTTTGTGAACTCATTTTCCAAAAAGTGCTATCAGTGACATTTGAAATGTAGTCTTGAGGGACCAGTGGATGGCATAGTGGTTACATGGCTGGACTCCCACATGGCTGACTGTGGTTTGAGTCCTGGTGGCTTGAAAATCATGCCAGGCATGGGAGCGTGTGTGCCTGAGCTCTTGGGAGGAGAATGGAGGCCAAGGGATTGTGGTATGGCCTTCCCTGTAGGGGCTGATTTCTCACTTTCCCTCTCACTGACTCTTTCCTCTCTCTCTCTCTCTCCGGTGAGCACATGGACCCTAAGGCAAAATCTCTTAAAAAAAAAAAAAAGAAAAGAAAAAAAAATTCACCCATGGAAGTTCACGGAATCAGAACACAGAAAATACAGAGAGGAGGAACAACTGGAACCCTTGACTCAACATTTTCTAATTCAGACTACTTCGCGCCTGCTCACGGGCCCTTCCCTATCCATACAGAGCCGCAGCCACAGCCTGAAGAGGACGAATTCCCTGGTCCTTCTGCCCTTGTCAGGGGAGATCTAGGGGTGTCTGGGACCCCGAGTAAGGTTGGCACTGTATGTTGACTTCCAGTATTCCCTTATTAGAATGACTACACCCTGTGGACTGCATACCAGAACACGGACACTCAGCAGGTCCTGATGGAAGAGAGAAATGTTTTCTGTGGGACCTACAACATCCGCATTCTCTCTGACACGTATGTACTGGGGTCAGAATCCAGGTCTTCAAGGACCCTTGATTTGTACATACAGGAATCTTAGGATACCCCTGATCCTTGTTTACTTGGACAGGTAACACTCATCTCATCTGAGGCCCCAGCCCCAAAGTAGCCTGAGATCTTGTTTGGACAACATGTACTTGCTTTTATTATATACCATGCTCAGTGGGTAGAGGGTACTTTTTCTTTATAAATTATGGGTATACTGGGGCTGGCAGGTGGCATGGTAGTTAAGACGCTGACTCCCACATGGCTAACCACGGTTTGAGTCCTGAACCTGGTGGCTTGCTTTCTTATGCTCCCTCTCTTTCTCTCTCTGGCCAAACTGAAGAATAATGATAAACAAATAAAGTGAAATAAATAATTATTGAAAAAATAAATTATGGGGATACTGACCAACAAACTTATATAAGTCATGCACATGCAATCCTTTTTTTCTCTGCAATCTCTTTATTGTTTTATTCTAATTTTAGAAGTAACGTATGCTTATTAGAAAAAAAAAAACAATACTCCAAACACATGCCAAAAAAATGAATGGAGGTGAACAAAGATCTAAAATCTTGCTACCTAGAGATAACCAATATATTGATGTCTTTCTAGAATTGTTTTTGCATATATACCACATACCTTGAGTAGAAATGAGGCTTGTATTTACATATTTCTACAGCCCAATATGATAAATCATTGAAGCTATCTTTTCATGTTAAATATGAAAATCATATTTACAACTGCATAGTGTAACATTTGGATATGGCACAGAGGAAGACCCTTTAATAATTAGTTTTCTGTCATATGTTAGGCCTAGGACTTCACTCTTATTCACAATGTTTTGAGAAGACCACCTTTTTTTCATTTTTTGGCCATTAATTATTAACAAATTGTGTCTTGAGAATAGACCAGTTGATGTGGAGAAGACCAAGCAGATAGGAGGAAGGCAAAGTTGAGTTTTCATGGATAGTATGGTGATAATTGTTCCTTAGAAGAGATGATGGCTGATTTAAATCTAGAAAGAATGAATGAATGAGAACAAACATATTGAGAATTGCTCCTTGAGCCAGCAGGTGGCATGGAGGTTAAGGTGGCCGGATCCTACATGGCTGACAACGTGTTCTGAGAGAATGGAGGAGAAGGGATTGCGGCATGTCCATCTCCTTTGGGGAGGTGATTTCTCACTTTCTCTGTCTCTTTCTGGCTAGCACGCATGCCCTATAGCAAACTAAAACAACAAAAAAAGGCTCCTCGTATTTAGAGTGACTACACACCCCTGTTCATTGGGACAATCCCACTTTATGAATAATTCATAATAATGTCCCATGTGGGGGCCAGCAGGTAGCGCAGTGGTTAAGGGCGCTGGACTCCCACATGGCTGACCTTGTTTACTTGGACAGGTAACACTCACCTCATCTGAGTCCTGGACCTGGCGGCTTGCTTTCTCACTTTCCTTCTCTCTCTCTCTCGTTCTTAGTCTGTCCCTCTCTGATCAAAATAAAAATAAATAAATAAATAAAGTTAAATAAAATAATTCTTTAAAAAGAAAATAATGGTCCATGTGACAATAACAAGTGGCTCAGTTTTAAAGCAGTTGGTCATCCTCATCATTTTCCTACTTGTAAATAATGATACGATTGCAAAATTAATGCAGCTTCCCTGGTTTTATTGCACTATAACCTTATTGCAAACAAGGTCCAAATCTTAGTCATTCTGTATGTACCATGATACCTACTGGCGCTGGACTCTGAACTGAACGTATGCTCATTGGATATGGTTAAATAAAGGGGGGAAGAGAGAAAGAACGAGATCAGTGCAATGCATAAAGGGCTTCCCAGCTGTGTTCCTCTAAGAATTTCCACAAGAGAAGGTGTCTATAGTCAAAGAAGTTTGAGAAATGTCACATTCTTTATTCTCTGTATTAGGGATTTAGTATTCACTAGCAATTTCTTTTCAAAATAACCGTGCCTGTGTCTTTAAGTTTTAAATCTACCCGAAATGGATTTTTGTTATGGTATGTGGTAGGGCTCCATCCAGACCTGTTTAGTAGACTACTGATATGTAGGTACTTGGGTCAGAATCCTGGTCTTTGGGTCTTGCCTTCTGCTGCCTCCCATATATATATCACAAATTAGTTCATTTTTAACACCCATCGTGCCATGAATTCACAGGGAATAGGTTCCAGTAGCTCAGGTTCCTTTCCATTGGTTCTCACAAAGTGTGCTTCTCTG